CTCCTCCTGCGGGGCGGGCCCGGCCGACTCCTCCCGCCCCGGAGCCCCGCCCGTCGCCGCCGGGTCCGCCTCGCTCCCCGCGCCGCCCGCCCAGCAGGTGAAAGTCCCCGCAGCGCTGCACCCGGCCCTGCCCGCTCCTCCGGACCCGGGAACTTCGCCCTGGCTGTGCACCGAGGAACCCACGCTGAGTCCGCTCGGCCTGTTCTGCAGACAGATGCTGAGCCGGGCAGCACCGAAGCAGCATCGCCTCGGATTTGTTTGCTTATCTTGGGAGAGGGAGAGGAGCGATGTTTGTTGTTGTTTTGTTTGTTTTACCGGGAAGGCCCAAGACCTGTCTTTGATACCCTTAGTCTGGGCCTCATTAATTCTGAGATCTCTATTTCTCATCAGAACCAAGATCAAACCCCAATAGAGAGACTGTCTCTAGTGATTTTTGTCCCTTTGGGGATGTGCTTGCATTTGGGGGCGCAGCCAGGTGACTTTGGGAGAGTTTAAATATTTAAAAATCAGCCTTGTAGAACTGGAGTAGGCAGAAAAGGAACTCTAAGGACAAAAGATTCCAGGATGCTTTTATGTCCTTAATTAAACTTCTATAACTGGATATGTACAAAAGAGTTTCCAAGTTCTCCTCAGCTGGTATATAGTTGCTGTCTGAGCACATGCCAGTTAGGTTAGCCCGATGTTAAGAAAGGGCCTATTCGCTTTTCTCCTTTCCATTGAAAGTTTTTTGAGAACAGTTACCTAGTTATTTCTGTCTTGGAAGAGATTGGATAACAGAAGGCTTCTAAACTAATGTGTTCAGCTTCTTAACAGTATTGAGCAAAAGCGGCAGCCATAGGGGGATTTAGGGACCAAATACTATCTGTCAAAACACCATAGATACAGATATATAATAGCTGCAATTTACCCCTTAATACTCCTCCAAAATCTCTAATAGTAACCAGTGTCGAAACTCAGATCAAGAAATGAAAATAACCAACTTCTTTTTTTAATTCATTATTGTAAACCTGTTGTAATGGTTGATGTTGATTGTCAACTTGACAAATCTAAAAGTCACCGAGGAGGAAACCCTGGGCCTTTTGGAGAAGGAGTTTCTAGCTAGGGTAACTGAGGTAGGAAGACCCATTCTAAACACGAGTGGCGCAATTCCATGGGCCACTCATGGGGTCCAGAACCGAATAATAAAGAAAGTGAGCTGAGCACCAGAATTCATTTCTCTCTGCTTCCTGGCTAGGAAGGAGCTTAAGCTCCTGTCACTATGCCTTCCCCACCATCGTGAAAGTTACCCTGAACTGTGAAGCAAAATTAATCTTTTCTTCCATAAACTGTAATTTGTCAGGTATTAGATCACAGCACCAAGAAGAGTAACAAATACACCTGTTTTGTTATTTTCCACTCCTGGGGGTTGACTCCAGGGCCTCGAACCCTACCACTGAACTATCCCCTGCCCTTGTACTTTTCTTTTAGAGACAAGTTCTCAGTAAATTGCCCAGGCTGGCCTTGAATTTGCAATATTCCTGCCTCAACCTCCCCAGTAACTGGGATTACAGGCCTGCATCACCAGGTCTGGCGTAGCCCTGCCTTTAATGCCCTGTAGACACATGCATCGAAAGCCAATCTCAGCTTCTTACGTAGACTAGCCTTGGACTCTGTGAAACATCCTACTGAAACTCCTCTGTATCATCTCCATGATAGTTTTATATGAGAGAATACATTATTGCCCTGATTATATTTCTTATCTTGTCCCATAGGACTAAAGTACAGTAGCCCTTTCCTGTATACTGCTGCTCCCTGTCTGTCAAAATCCCTGTCAAGAGATAGCATCTTCTGGGATATCTCCCTAAATAAAAGCACACTAATGACTGGGACAAATTAATCACATGCATTATGCTGCATAGACTTTTATTATGTTCATAAATATTAGCAAGAGCCAAAAATAAGTTACACTGAGGAAATGCACCACTAACCTTTTTATAATACAAGACCGAAAGGTCTAATCAGGAATGTTTGACTCTGAATGTCACAGGGGTTTTAATATGCATCAGAAATGCACTCTGTAAAACCTGGCATAGTAACTTGACAACTTAAAGGCAAGATGTTAAGTAATTATTTCATTTACATCTCATATTCTCTCACAAATTAATAATGTCCTCTGACTCTTAAAGACCTTTTTTCTAGATTAACTTGAATCTCACTGGACTGGTGAATTTGCCAGAATTTCAAAACTAAGTCTGTAACACATTGTCTCAACATGACACAAACAAAAAGGCAGAGACCCCAAAGGTCTGTCAGGGTCTAGTATAGAGACTACTACATAGGAAACATCCAATAATTATTTATGGAGCTGGGTAATAATGACTAATACTCATTAGTTTTTCAACATGCTGGGCATTGTGATTAGCATCTTATTATCTCATTTAATATTCACATCAGCCCTAAAGTTAGCCCCTTTATAAAAAGAAACAGAAGCACAAAAAGGTTTGCATAGCTTGCCCTGTGCCAAGGTCACACAAAGAAAAGGAACTAGGATTTGAGTCAAAGTCAATCTTATATCAACAGGTGGAGCCTGTCTGGTCATGAAAAGCTTCTATTTGCAAAGGAGACATATGTCAGATTCAAGGTTTATAGTCTGTTTAGGTGCTATGTTGCGACGACATCCATTCTATTTTATTTAGATGGAATGTTCCAAGGAGAGGCCTGTTCTCACATTTGGCCTCTACCTTCTATAATGTCAGTGGCACACAGGTATGAAAACACCCTTCTTTCAGAAACAATGGGCACCCAAAGTAATTCCTTTTTGAATATTTTTAAAGTGATGCCAACCTTGTTTTTGCACCTTTAAATATAACTGAATTTTACCCTCAGAATTTCCAAGTCCATAAGAAAAAAATAAATAAGCAAATCTGATTTCTCTTTTTTTGTTTTAGGTTTTACTTTTGGTTGGTTGGTTGGTTTTCCTTAATTTTTTTATTTTGAGACAGGAGCTCACTAGGTAGCCCAGGCAGATCTTGAACTTATGATATTACTGCCTCAGACTTCCAAATTGGTGAAATTACAGACCTGTATCACCAGGCCCAATTTGTTTTAGTTTATGAAACAGGGTCTTGCTGTGGAACTCAGACTAACCTGAACTCATAGTTCTCCTGCCTCAGTCTCCCAAAATTCTGAGATTACAAGTGTGCACCACCACATAGAACCCCTTCTGTATTATCCATCTATTTATTTTCACTGCAAAGGGACTGAATCCAGGGCCTTGTACATATTAGACAAATGCTGTACCCTAAGCTACACCCCAGCCAACCCTCCTGTATCTTAAAAAGTACAATTTTAATCTGAATTACATCTAATTAGAATGGAAATCACAAAATAATTCCTACCTTAACTTCATTTAAAAATTAATTGTAGGGACTGGAGAGATGGCTCAGCAGTTAAGAGCCTGGTTGTGCTTACAGAGCTCCTAGGTTTGGTTCTCAGTACCCAAGTAGCAGCTAACAACTGTCTGTAAGTCCAGTTCCAAGGGAATCCAATGCCCTCTTCTGACCTCCACAAGCATTGCACGACATGGGTGCACTAACAGGTAGGAGATACACTCATAAAATAAAAATAATAAAATATTTTTCCAGAAAAATTAATTGTAGAGCCTAGTGTGGTAGAACATGCCAGTAATCCTAGTACACAGGAGCTTAGGAGGCTGAGGCAGGAAAATTAAGAACTCAATGCCAGCATGGGCTACATAGCAAGACCTGGCTCAAGAATCACAATAGGATCGGGCATAGTGGTACAGACCTTTGATCCTAGCACTCAGGAGGTGGAAGCAGGCAGATCTCTGACTTCCAGGCTGGCCTTGTCTACATAGCCAGTTCCAGAGCAGCTAGGGCTGCATAGTGAGACTCTGTCTCAAAAAAATAATAATTATAAGAAGCTGGTGTTATAATCAGTGGTCAAGTACTTGTCCAGCAGTTTGAGGCCTTGGGTTAGGTCTCTAAAACTGAAAAAGAAAACAAAATAGACATTCTATTTTAGGATTTTTTTTTTTTTGAGACAGGGTCTCCCTGTAGCTGTAGTCCCAGCTGTCATGGTACTCACTACATAGACCATGTAGACCAGGCTGGCCTTGAACTCACAGAGATCCACCTGCCTCTGCCTCCTGAGTGCTGGGATTAAAGGCCTGTGCCACCACACCAGGCTCAAATTCTTTCTTTTTTTAAGATTTATTTGTATTTGTAATTGTGTGTCTATGTGTTTCTGTCAGAGTATGTGGGTGTGAGTGCAGGTGCCTTCACAGGCCAGAGGTGCCAGATCCCCAGGAGCTAGAGTTACAGAAAGTTGTGAGCTACCCAATATGAGTACTGGGAATTAAACTCAATCCTCTGCAAGAGCACTGAGGCATCTCTCCAGCCTGGTACTCTTTCTTTTAAAAAAAAAAAGTTTTTGTATTGTCATAAAGCAATTGGTCCTAGGAATTCTTGCATGAATACAGCCCACAAAAATGAAAAATATGTCAGCTTACTAAATACTGCAGTCCCAGAGACACACAGATGCATAGAACTCACAATACCATTGTGTAAATAAAATATTAAACATTAGCAACACATTATGTGTTACCATTAGGTAAACTTAGCCTCAAAAAGTTCAAATTACTTTTTCTTAGTACCATTTT